GAGGGTGGTGAGGCACTGGCACAGCTTGCCCAGAGAAGCTGTGGATGCCCCATCCCTGGAAGTGTTCAAGGCCAGGCTGGATGAGGCTTTGAGCAACCTGGTCTAGTGGAAGGTGTCCCTGCCCATGGCCGGGGGGGTGGAACCAGATGGTCTTTAAGGTCCCTTCCAGCCCCAACCGTTCTGTGATTCTACCATCATCCCCCATGGAGAAAGGCCCCATACCAGGAAGCAGCACCCCTTGTAACCTCCACCACTACCAGCACAGTCACAGAACAAGGATCTACTGAAGGGAAAGAAACCACGGCCAACCAACCAAAAAAGTCCTGCTGACACAGCCAATGGAACCATCCTTGGCTGGTAACATGCAAACTACCTATTAAAAAACAGAAGGAAGAGACTCAAGAGGTGAAAATTCAGGTGAAAATCAGTGTTGGGCTACTGACTTGACGCACGCAGATGCATTTTTACAACAGCAGGGATGGCGTTCAGTTTATAACCAGTGACAAACAACAGGCACAGGCCATTTGGCAAGTCAGAAAAGTAAGCGATAACGGACTAGGAAGTTAAATTCGCTAGAGAAATTGAACATTAACAGCAGGATAAGTCAGAAAAGTGAATAAGGAATGCATCAACCTGATTTTCAAGACAACCAGATGATTTCTGCCATCTCCTTCAGTGTAGTTGGTAGGACTCCTGTTTAGGGATCCTCTCAGAGAGACGACAGATTCCTTTAACCGACTCTGTGCTGACCACATGAGCAGGTGCTCAAGGGGGCAGATAGTCTTCACGTGGTACGACAGCACGTCAGCGGCTGAAAATGCCAAGTGAGTCGGAAAGGCGACACATCTCAGACAGGCTGTCGAGGCATCTCAGGAGCAGTTGCCCTCAGCTCTAATCCCCAAAGCACTCTTCGTGTCACCTCCCGCCAAGAGAAAAGCACACAAGTACTCCCTTGCTCTGGCTAATCAGATAAGAACTCCTCTATTTACCTGCAGCACTAAGAATTAACCTCCAAAGAGACTACTACATTTAGTTAAGAGTCTTCTAAGGGCTAATTGTTTCCTTATACAGCTGAAAAAAAAAGCTCAGTCCAGCACAAATGTATGAGACTGCCTTCCACACGTGGGAGCGTACACCTCTGTCACCCGCGGAGAGCACGTTTCTCCAGAGGAACCTACAGCTATTCAACAGCACACAAGAAAACCCCATTCTTTGCCTCTGTTAGTAGAGAAAGCAAAATATGAAATTCTTCCTGGTTTGTACTTAAAAGGCATTTTTTCCGTGTT